AACATTCTACCGGGACTGGCAGGGTTCCACTCCATCGGGCTTGACTCCGTTTCTCACACAACAAACAAAACAAACAAGAAGTAACCCGCTGCTCTCATTAACAAGTCTCAAAGGAGTTTCGGTTCGAAGAACTGGGCAAGTCTTTATCGTGATTGTCAAATTGGTCTTTATCGCTCCAAGGTGAAGAAGTCCTCGGTAAGACGTCCAGGTAACAAATGCCCCCATGAGCCTAAGGAGTCGGGACAGAAGTAGAGAGAGGATAGGATTTGGCCGCTAACACAATATACTATACAAGCCCGAATTTATCTTGGATAACCCAGTACACACAATCAAAGTCCCAAACAGTCTGTCCGGAAGCCCCTTATCTACGTTGGAGCTGCCGAAAAATTAAACTAGCATGTATCGGCTGTTCCCATCAGAGCCACACGCATACGCTCGACTTGCCAAGCAGTCTCTCACACAGCAGCACACACTCAGTAGCACCTCATTGCACAAGAGGCAACATGTCGCCAAGGCAATCTGGGGTGCCGACAAGTAGATTTGACAGGAGCACTGGTGTATGGTAGGAGATGGAGACGATACAGAGTGAAGAGAAGACACTCATACACTCATAGTTACAGTGCTTTCCAAAAGGGCTAATGGATAAAATCTCTCTAAGAGTCTCTGTCAGCAGGTCGCTGGGTGTACGACCCCAAATCTTTACCAGCTAGATCTTGCTCAGTCCTTTGAGATGCTCACTGGAAGATAAAGGTTCTTAACAATGAGTATGTTTACATGGACAACAATACTCCGATTTTAATACGATTAAGACAATACTCTGATTAAGAATCTACCATGTAAACAGAGATTTTTGATTACCTTAATCCGGCTAAAGTCATAATCGAAGTAAACACTAATCGAATGAAGCCATGTGGAGTATTCCTATTTTAGTCGCATTACTGAAGTGCAGTATTGACATGTAAACACCTTAATCACATTTCTGCCGTCGTGTAGGACTTTTCGCCACATTTTGCGACAGGATGCACACACGGCAGTGCTCAACCGTTTGTCGGCAAATAAAAGAGCTTCAACACCGCCATCGTCTGTATGCACGTACAAATAATTAACTGCACTTGAAGCTTTCATAAAATTAAAAATGAAACACCCAAAACTGTACATGGCATAATCACGAAGACAAACTATATGTTTATACGTGAAATTCCGGAGGGGACGTCGGATGGCGTCACGTGGGACGTAATGACGTGTGCCATTAATCGCACTATGTACTATAACATGTAAACCGGGAACATGAAAGGAATATTCTAAAAGCAACTCATCTAAACACCATAATCATAATATTGGTTTATTTAGAATAAGGTAAATAATTAGATTACTGATGTCCATGTAAACGTAGTCAATGTCCACCATGCAGTGTAAATTTGTATGGTGTAACCTAGTGGTTAGTCTCAGCTCTATATGGGAGGATCACAGAATATGCATACTAGGGTTGTGACGGTGAAGAAATTTTCCCAATGGTTAATCGACATGTGAATCACAGGGGGGTGGGGTTCATTGGAGTTTTCCCTCTTTTCCTCGATTTCCTTCACTTTTGTACACAGCTTGTAAATGTCCGTGCACATTTTACTTTCACTTTCAAATTAGCGGCAATTCTGCTTCAATTGCTTGAATGGACAAAAACGAAACTGTACAATGACAAACTCACTTATATTAAACATAGAACTTTTATTAACAAACCGAATAAAAATACAGCCAGAATATTTCTGTGAGTTTGCCTGTTTGTGTTCCCTCCTCCCTTCTGTGTTCTCTCTCTCTCTACTTTCTTTAGTCTCTCCTCTCTCTGCATCTCACTGTATGCACGTATGCACGAATGCGCATATGCGTATATCTCTTCTTGGGTTCAAATGGTGAGATGATGGTGGGGGCCTCCTCAGACCCAGGTTATTGAGTTCGGTCTGTCCTTTGCTCAGAGTTAAGGGAACATTCTGCAAGATGTACTCCTAATATGTTCAGAACTTCCTGCCCATATTCCCATTTTATATAACGCACAGATGTAATGCATATCCTATTGGATCTAGAGGTAGCAGAAAGAAAAACCCTTTGTTTGCCAAATGTATTCCTTATACATTCCTATATTATGTAGTGTATAATTCTTATTGGATAAACCACTACACCACCCCTTACAATGCATCTAATATAATCTACTGATGTAACAATAAACTTTGAAGAAGTTTGTGACTCTTCCCATGGGCCCATGCATTCATAAGTGGTGGGAACTAAGAATACTTTGGGGGCGACAAGAAATAACGGGATTGATTAATTTTTAACAATTGCCAAACAGGCACCTTTGCATTTAGTTTCGAAACTAAATCGTCCGCCATCATCTTGTCTTTCTCACCTCACTCCTCTTGTCGGTCAGCTCGACTCGCTTTCCTCACATGATAAATGAAATCATCCAGCTGCTGCTGATCTGTGATGAGACTGTCGTTCGGCACACTCCGTTTTTAATTGTAGTGTCTGTTCTCTAACTGAACTAAATTATTTTTATTACTATAAAAAAAAAAGAAAAAAAAAAGACGGTGGGCAAGTGACGTAACCGGTTTTGCAGTTTAACACCAGTAACACAGACTATCGCAGCAAGCCTAATGCATACTGCAGACAAAACTGGACTGGACTTTCTCGATCTGCCAAGATCTAATCTGATCGGCTGGATTTATGCAACTTTTGTGATTAAAGGCACAGGTTTTTCTATCAGTCAGCTTTGAAACCAAGTCTTATTTACAAGATACCAAGTTGATTCAACAAGTCCTTCTTGAGAAACAACTAATTACTGGATTTGCCAAAGATCACCAGGTTATTGGCATCAAATCACATGAAAGCAAATCAAATTGAGCTTGGTAGCTTTTACATGTCAGTCAGACCGTCTCCCTTGCCAATACTTGGCTAGAACAGACTGAATATGAACCAGATTTTGTGCCGACAGGTCAGGACAAAGTCAGGCTAAATCTGGGCTGGTAACTACAAGTTCCTTGCATCCCTACAAGGGTTGTTGAACAATCTATTGCTATGGTGTCTTCAGCACAGTCTGGTGCAAGACACAATGGTGATCGATCACTGATCGACCCTTGCAAAGATGCAAGCAACCAACAACCATTCCGTTTTCAGCCCACTTGTTATTCTACAGTCCCTGTAGTAAGTGTACCTTCAGTTGGGATAAAAATCTGATTGGAATGTTTTTCTTTTCACCTGTTCTATCTTGGCCCATTCCTTAGGGACTAAGTGAATATATTTTCAGCATGAACAATCCAAGTTATTGAAACGTGGACTGACTGACGGCTATCCTACAATGACTGGCCCTTTGCTTCTGAGCCCTCAGGAGAAGCTACAAACTCTGTAAAACAAAAGAAAACCGTTTGAGGCAACTGGAGCTAAGGACAAGCAAGCAAATAAATCCTGCCTTCTGGAACCACTGTGAATCAGGGCAAATGTGAAAAAGCACTATAACACACAGCAGAAAATGAACAAATTTTGGGTTCTCGCTCAAATTAAATGTTTACCTCCACTTTACGCAGATACAAGCCATTATTGCAGCCATGACAGTGTAGGTTAATCCCTACATTACTTACAATGTGGATATATGAGGTATATTAGGTTTTTTTTGCTCTTGGTTTAACTTAAGCTTCTATTGCCATTGTGCAGCCTGTCACTGGAACAAGAAACACAACGGTTTTTATTGGTTGTTATATTGCTGAAAAAGTTAACATTTTTCTCTTTATTAAAGGAGAACTACTTTACTACTTCACTACAGTGTGCTAAAAGTGTGACGGACACACTCAACACCAACGCACACATACACACAGACTCAAGTACAGTAACAGTCCCCCATTGGCTGGCAGACTTTCTCGGTTGGACCTCAGAGTCGGAACACAAATCACAGCAGGAGAACAGCAGGGACTGTCTGGCGATTTCTGAGTAAGTGTGTATCTGTTTGTGATGAGCATCAGACAAAAAGTTATCACCTGACTGCCTGACAAATAGAGAGATAATGACAAAGAGAGAGAGGTACGAGTCAATACAAGGTACTCCTATCCAAGCAAATTGCATGATTTTTATAACATTTGTTTTTTTTTTTTAATTGCTTTTATTCATGATGGAGATGGAACGCTCTACTAAATTACCCAAAATAAAATTACCTTCTAATTATTTCTTAGAAATTATTGATCAAAACAGTACATAGGCAGATAGACGGGCTCAACATTTTTCATTTTTGTGTGTGTGTGTGCGCGCGTATTCGCCTGTTCGAGAAGTTGCCATGACAGAAACAGTGACATTCCAGTTAAAGTTTGAAGGGAGTAAAGCCTATGTTTATGCTATTAAGAAAGTGTAGGCTAATCTGGCCAAAGACTAATTTTTTTTAAATAAATAAATGTTCATTTAAAAGCAGCCTACGATCAGCGTATTATTTTACCGTTACCCCCTTATGGCTCCGATGAGGTTTTGTTCCGTCCTCCATGCGGTGCCAACTCACGCCAGGAGCGAAGCAACTGGATTCGCGAGACCACAAGATTTGCCTGTCCAGCTGTGTTTTGGGTTTTTCCTTGATTTTTTATTTTATTTATTTATTTTGACAAAAATTTCTGTTCATATTTAACTTAAAAAGATACTGAATATTCGCAACAGTGCTATGGTCCACTTATCCGTGGGCTGTAGTTTACAATGGTGTCCAATATAATTAATAACTGCTAAACCATTAAAATACAAGCCTCTTTGCAAAAGCTAATTATCTAAGCAGATTTGTGTAATACAAAGCTCAGACTAAAATGATTAAGCAATTTGTAATTTGCAACTACATGCAGAATGATATGCAGAGCAGTAGATGCTACACACAGGAACATCACAAGATTTAACTTTTGCACTGTTATAATTAAATCTGGTGTTTAGGAGCAATAGCATCTATTCACTTTATATTTACAAGAGGTTTGTGGTATTTAAAAAGTTCTTACCTTTTCACTCTAATAAATCAGCATTCAAGGTGTAATTTGAACTCCCCTCTGTATATAGGATATTTTGGATGGTTCCGGAGGCTTCTTATTTCAGTAAGACTCTGCCGCCACTTTTCAGATCCAAAGGTCAATTATGCCACAGTAACAGCTTTGTTTACTTAGATCTTCACAACCAACCAGAGAAGACCCTGCGTTCAAAACACCCAAATCTTCTGTGAAAGTCCACTGGGGAAAGATATAGGGGAAAAAATTTGAATTTGATTAGATTTCAACAAACAGACTGCACGCAATATTCCAGGCGATCCCAATTTGTTATCATGCACACACAGACATGCTTCATTCTACGGCCTGAAGATTTGTCAACAGCAAAAGACCATCAAAACTGATTTTTTTTTCTTTTATCCTTAGCATATAAGCAATGATTTTTCCAGAGTACAAAGCACACACAATCATGTCTGCCAGTAAACATAAAAAGATTTGAAATTTAGACGGCAGATGAGAACGAGAGATGCTTTCATCTGAATGAATACTTGATGAGTAGCAGTAACAAATGAAAAAGAGTAAAGAGCCAGATTAAATTTTCTGTGGCAAAACCGGCCTGTTCATATCAACAAATGGAAGATAATTTACACTATTCGCTATACTGCCTGGCCTGCCTCTAACAGACACAACCCTGTTAAAAATTTACTTCACCTCTTAAATGTCACCACAGGTCAGTATCAATTAAAATGTCATTGAGGTCAAACTATTTTTAAACCAATTTCAATATTTATTGTGTAAAAAAAATTATTTTATTTTAATTATTATAAAAAAATTATTTTTTATAAATACATATTTAATAATATTTAATTTATTAATATTATTAAATTAATATTTGAATAAATAATATTATACATAAAATGACAGATATGAAATGAGGCTTAGTGAGGCAAAGCTGTTGACCATTTTATTCCAAAAAATGTTTAAAGTGTAATTTCCAGGAAACACAATAAAAAAAATATAGACTGTGGAACATGGACATGCAAATAAAAAGTTTGCAAGGCCACAAGTGACCATAGATGAAGAACCATCCAACTATACACATGTACTTTACATCACATGCTCTTTCATCAACCAATGTGACGGGCAGAAACAGAAAGAGATGAAGAGGAAACTATTATTAGAGGGAAAGTGAGAAAAAGACAGAAATTTAAGATGGGTGATGTCATTTGAATAAGGCAGACAGATATGAAAGGAAATCAGAAAGTCAGAACAAAAGATGTAAAATAAGAAACAAAGAAGTACTGTATAATAAGCATCAGGGTGTGGATGAGCTGGGTTTCTTTCTTCTTTTGTGCGCACAAGTGTCGTCCAAAGTGACCACACAACTAATTTCCTTTTTGACATCTTTTAGTTTACCGAAAGGATTTATCAGAGCTCTCCAAATTGATTTAGAGACAAACAGACAGACAGACAGACAGACAGATAGACAGATAGACAGATAGATAGATAGATAGATAGACTTTGTGCAAGAACATACCGCTATATGGCAGGGGTCAGCTGTGATTATTCAAGAGCAGATGAAAACAAGCAGGGCAGGATGGAAGTGGATGTGAGCGAGCTGAGCAAAGATGAAAATCAGGTTTCGATCCAGCGTGGCGGCAATCAATGCGGAGTAGAGAGCCGTGACCACATGAAGAGGGAACGATGGATGGGATTTAGAAGGAAACATAAGTCTACGACAGACAGCAAGTGAGTAACTGAATGACAAACAAAATCAAAAAGAGAATGCACGGACAGTCGGCCTGGATGGAAAAGATCATGTTTAGAAAAGAAGACCCAAGCATGCTACTAAGGGAGACGTTTTAGGAAGAATTATTACAAGGATAAAAGACCTGTAAACATCTAACTCATTGTATAGATATATATGTAGCAAGATCATCTGTTTCTCCTAGACTGCAGTGATATGAAATGCAGAACAAATGGAGTCTAATGCTTCTCATGTGATTCGCCTGAGAATAAGACCCCTGTAATCTCAAATATGTCTTCTGTAGAGCTTCAGTGACATCTTAATATCTCAAACTGTGCGCAGATTTGTGAGTAGCAGAGGGCTTCATATTTACCTCTACAGTGCTGTCAAGTGGCAATCACCCATACTTGCTATTTACCCTCTGTTATTGTCAATCTCTCCCACTGTCTTTCTGCATTCCCACTTGTCTGTTTATTCTTAATTTCCCAGTCCAGTTCCTCTGTCGGTCTTAGAAAGACACAAACATCAAGTTAAAGTCTCAGAGGACAAGCTCTCTCTTTTTGCTATGACTGTTTGTGTCACAACAACCTCTCCATCTTTCTCTCTTTTCACAGTATCAATTGGCACTAGGGATGTCGACGATTAATCGATGATCGAATCGATTAAAGCTATCGATGGTCGATTAAGCTATTTAATTTTGGGCTGCGTGCGGCTCATGCGCAAAACACGTGCGAGCGGCTGTGAGTGACAGTGACGGTATATAAATGCATCATCATTCATTCACAGTGTTGGGGAGTAACTAGTTACATGTAACGGAATTACGGAATTTAATTACAAAATAAATGTAACTGTAATCTGTTACAGTTACTAAGAAAACATGTGTAATTAAATTACAGTTACTTATGAAAATGTTAAAGATTACAGGGGGGATAAAACAGTGATAAAAAGTGAATGACAATAAAATAAACCTGCGAAATTAGAGGGATAGACGGTGAGTATTTAGGAAAAGAAACAATGCCTAAATATTATTGAATTTGTGGACATTCGTGACCAACCGGCAAACCAGAACAAAGCCGGTTAAATGTATGCTATTTGGGCTCGAACGGAGTCCAAAAGCATGGTCGCGATGTAACATTTTCCAGCTAACCAATTATTCCTCTAATAAACAAAGCTTTTATACCACACTTGTCATAATCAGAGCTTATAATTTGTAAATAAATAATT